GGAGAAAGCTCAGGGCATGTGGAACGCTGCAATTCCCGGGAGGAATTGTGGGAGCGGTGCTGGGAACCTGTCTGGTGAGAGGTTTCGGGGAGGGGAGGCCCTGGCAGCTCCTCCTGAGCAAGAGCTGCTCCCTAATTACCCGTCTGATTGCCCTCACTCGCTGCTCCGCTCCAGCTTTAATTAGCTCCAGCCCAAACCGGCGGGAAGAGCACAGGGGAGACGGAGCTGGCTCGGATCCGCCCGGGAGAAGCAAATCCCGACAGATCCCCGGGGTTTGGAGGCCGGGGAGGGTCCAGGGGCTGGTCCAAACCATGGCAGAGGGGCTGGAGCTCAGCTGGGGGGGATTTGGGGTCCCTGTGTCACCTGGCTGGGGGTGCAGGGGTGGTGCCGTCTGGGGTGGCCCTTGGTGAGGATCAAAGCTGGAATCTGCTGCTTCCTTCCCATGAAATCCCTGTGACTGGCATCCCATTGCTGGTATCCACCATCTCCCAGCCCATGGATCCCATCTCATCCCATCCCTGTGACTGGCATCCCATTGCTGGTATCCATCATCTCCCATCCCATCCCATGGATCCCATCCCATGACCAGCACTCCCATGACCAGCATCCCTCATCTCTCATCCCATTCCATCCCATCCCATTCCATTCCCATGACCAGCACCTATCACCTCTCATCCCATCCCATTCCTTTACATCCCTGTGACCATCACTCACTGCCAGCACTCACCATCTCCCATCCCATCCCATGGATCCCATCCCATCCCATCCCATCCCATCCCATCCCATCCCATCCCATCCCATGGATCCCATCCCACATCACTTTTCAGGAGAAGGTCAAAGCCAGCCCTTGATTTTGTCTGTGCTTTAAGTGTGCCTCATTTATCAGGATAACGATCCCAATAAAACCTCCTGCTGCCCCATAAAACCCCAGGATTTATGGCCCAGTCACAGCACCGGGGTGGGCTGCAGGGTCGGGCAGGGAAGGGGAGACCACCGTGGTGGGATGGGGGGCGCGCAGCCGCCGCCGCCGCCGGGGTTTGGCGGCTGAATTTCCCGGGATGGCTCCACCTGGAGCTGGAAAGTTGGAGCTGTGATGGAGGAGGGGCCCCCCAAAGCCCCACACGGAGCTTTCCAGGCTCGGTGTCTGCATTTGAGGGGCCCCGTGCAGGGAATGGGGGAAATTCCCGCAGAGCAGGAGGTGCAAAGCTTCCAGCTGGATCCTGCCGAGGCGCTCGGCTGCCAGCGCCAGCCCAGATGTGCACAGATGTGTCTGGGTCTGCAGCTGCAGACACGGCGGGGGGCGGCAGGGGGATGAATCCATGGAAAAAGAGAAAGTTGGGAGGCGGGGAGGGAAAGGGCTCCGGCAGGGGAAGCTCCGTGGGGCCCTCCTGGCCCTGCACGGGCCCAGACCGATCCCAGGCTGCGGGCAGGGGGAGGGATCTGCACAAATCCCGGCAGAAACAACGCCGAGGTTTAGTGTGGAAAGTGGGATTGTGGAGAGGGTGGGCTCGGGGTTGATCCCAGGATGGCTGTGAGGGTCTCGGCGCTGTTGGAGTCAAATTTGGGATTTTGTGGTTTGTGGTTTGTTTTAGACTTTGCTTCCATGGAGTTCCCAAAGCCAAGGGCAGCTCCCAAAGCTGGAGCGAAGGGACCCCGATCCCCGATGTCCCCGTGGAGAAGAGGCTGGATTGGGATTGGGAATTCCCGGAGATGACTCGGCCCCACAGTGACCCCGGCTGCGATCCCGGCTCCGGGAAGGTCCCACCTGGGAGCCCCGGGGGCGCGGGCAGTGGGGCGGAGCCGGGCGGGGCCCCAGGGCAAAGCCGGATCCCGGAGCTGCTTACCCAGGGCGGAGGCGCCGCAGCCCCGGGCACGGAGCCGGCCCAGCCCCTTCCTGGCACCGCGACGGCACCACGGGCTCCCCTCCGCCCTCGGGAACTCCGTCCTGCTGCATCCCGGGGCTCCACACCCATGGGATGGGGGTCCCGGCTCAGCAGAGGCGCGGAGAGCCGGGAGCCCGTGGGATTCCATGGTTGGAATCCAGGGGAGCAGCGATTGTTTAGTCTGGAGGAGGGAGGGCTGAGCCGGCTGCACATTCCTGCAGGAGGGACGGGGCAGGGAGGGGAACCAGCACGAGTTGTGGGGAATTATTTAAAGGGAATTGCTTCCAAAGGGAACGAAGGAGTTCTGGCTGATTTGCTGTCGGCTGCGGGGTGAGGAGACACAGACCCAGCCCGGCAGACAGGCCTGGGATTTCCTCTCCCCGTGCTCCAGAGCTCACTGATGCTTTTCTGCAGGCAGAGCCTTATCCCAGCTTCTCCCTGCTCGGGAAGGGCTGAATTCCCTCTGGATAAATCAGCCTCAGAGGTCAGGGCTCAGCTGGGAATCCCGTCCCTAAAACCGAGCAAACCGAGTGGCTCCTTCCCTCCCGGGGGACAGGCCCAGCCTGGGGCCGGGATCACTCACCCTGGGGGAGATCCTGGCATCCATCATCTCCCATGCCACGGATCCCATCTGTAAATGTGCAAATCCTGTCCCTAAAACTGGATTTAGGGAGCTGCTCCTTCCCTCCCAGGGGACAGGGCCAGCCTGGAGCCGGGATTGCTCTCCTGGAGCTGGGATTGCTCTCCTGGAGCCGGGATTGCTCTCCTGGAGCTGCAGCCCAGCCTGGACACCCCATGCAAGTTCAGGCTGGAGGTTTTTGGGAAGACTGGATGGGTTTATCCTGGTACAGCAACTCCCTGGAAGCTTCCTTGGGATCAGCCCAGCAGGATCCCCCTCCCAAGGATTTCACATTGACTGAATGAGGACCCTCCTGCTGATGGGGGTGCAATCCCACTGCTCCCTTTCCCTGGGAACCGAGCACAGTCCATGAACTCAGCTGCTGTGCTCGTGTCCTGCCTGGACAGGGCTGGAGCTGTGAAATTCCAGCTTGTCCTGCCTGGACACGGAACAATCATGGCAGGGGACAGGGGTTCCTCCTGGAGCCTCAGCTTGGAGAGATCCATCCTTGCCCAGGGGCAGCTCCCGAGCACGGACACGGCCCTCGCTCCCTCCCTCCCTCCCTCCCAGCAGCACTCGGTGAGGCAGGAGAGGCTGTCAGGAATTTAATGGAACTTGGCACTGGAAACTGTACAACATTTACAGAGAACCACGCACTGTGTCTATGTACACCCTCTGCCCACTCCCAACGCTCCCAGCCGGACATGGACAGGCAGTGACAGTCCCTGGATGTGGAGTCACCGCTCCCCAAGCCTGGATTTCGGGATGTGGCTCCCCAGTCCTGGATTTCAGGTGACAAGGACTGCAGGATCCCAATCCCCAATCCTGGATCTAAAGTGACAGGGATTGGAGGATCCCAGTCCTGGATCTCAGGTCACAGGGACTGCAGGATCCCAATCCTGAATCTCAGGTGACAGGGATTAGAGGATCCCAGTCCCCAGTCCTGGATTTTGGGATATGGCTCCTCCAATCGTGGATTTCAGGTGGCAGGGACTGCAGGAGCCCAGTCCTGGATTTTGGGTCACAAGGACTGCAGGATCCCAATCCTGGATTTCAGGTGACAAGGACTGCAGGATCCCAATCCTGGATTTCAGGTGACAAGGACTGCAGAATCCCAGTTTCCCTATCCTGGATTTTAGGATATGGCTCCCCCATCCTGGATTTCAGCTGGCAGGGACTGCAGGAGCCCAGTCCCCCATCCTGGATTTTGGGTCACAGGGACTGCAGGATCCCAATCCTGGATCTCAGGTGACAGGGATTAGAGGATCCCAGTCCCCAGTCCTGGATTTTGGGATATGGCTCCCCCAGTCGTGGATTTCAGCTGGCAGGGACTGCAGGATCCCAGTTCCCCATCCTGGATTTTGGGTCACAGGGACTGCAGGATCCCAATCCTGGATTTTGGGTCACAGGGACTGCAGGATCCCAATCCTGGATTTTGGGTCACAGGGACTGCAGGATCCCAGTGCCCATCCTGGATTTTGGGTCACAGGGACTGCAGGATCCCAGTGCCCATCCTGCATTTTGCGGTGCTCAGAGCTGTCACCACTTTGCTGCCCACGACTCTGCAGTGCCATTCCCAAGCTGGGTCTCTCCCTGGGTTTTCCCTGCATCTTTGGAGTGCTAGAAGATGGCAGTGCTGCCACCCTGAGTATTTACAACCACTCCTCCTCCTCCTCTCCTCACAGCTCCAACTCTTCCTCTCCTCTACCTTTCTACCACATGCAAGAACCCCTTGGTTGCCTCCAAGTCCTGCTTCCCGTTGGGAAGTGTTTCATTTCCAAAAGGCAACAAAAACACGGAATCTACCTTCACTCCCTGCTACCCCTCTACTCACTGCTCCCCAAACCCTTGTACAACGTGCCTACAACCTTCCTACACCCTAGAGTAAAGCAGTTCTCTTTCAGTAGTGTCTCCCCCCAGCCCGTGGATTGCTCTGGGACAGTTGGGACACCACCCCTCGGAGCACGAAGGATCAAGTACTGGAAAGGAAATGCCAAGTCTGAGCAACAAAAATACAAAAATAAAAAAAAACCAATCAAAGGAAACAAAAAAAAAAAAAAACCAACCACCCCAAAATCCCAACCCCCAAACTTGAAACAAAACTAATAAAAAAATTAAATAGTTGGCAGGATACAAGAGTGAGACAGAGGAATGTACAAAGGACACACAAAGATCAAAGATTCCAGTAGGTGAATTGAGAACCTGTTGAATTGGGGTCTGTTTTTGTAGGATTTTCCTTTTGGAACATGCAAGTTTGCAGGAATTACCATAACCACACACCAGAGTGACTTCAGGTGCTGAGTCCTTTAAAGGACTTCTGCAGTGTTGATCAAAACCCCTGGTGCTGCCCAAAATTCCACTTTATTTTCCATCCTCTACCCCCAAAATTCCACTTTATCTTCCATCCTCTACCATGGCTGTGGGAAACTTGCAGGAACCCCAATTTGCTCTTCAGAAGTGCCACGAGGGTTTTGGGAACCCCTCATGGATTCAAAAACAGCCCCCAGCTCAACAGTGACCGCACACCAGTAGCTGCCATTCCAACACAACCCCAGGCTCTGATCCGCAGAGCGCTCCCGAGCGCTCCCGGTACAAAATGTACACGGAATTAATTATTTATAAATTAACAGTTTTCCCAACCCCAGGCGCCTTTGGCGGGGCTCCCGTGCCTCCTTACGCTACACCAGCGTTTCTTTCCGCTTCCCGCCGAGCTGCTTCTCCCTGCATTTGCGGTGCCCCGATGAGCTCCTGTGGGGTTTGAGCCCCTCGGCTTCCCCCGAGTCCGGCAGGGCCGCGCTCTGCTCCGGCTCCGCGTGGGGCGTTCCCTGGCGCTGCTGGGCCGGGGCGCCGGGCGCACGGGGATCGTTGGCGTTGTTGGGGTTGTTCTCCTCGCACTCCTCGCTCAGCTCGGGCAGCTCGGCGAGCTCGGGGCCGGCAGCGCTCCTGCGGAAGGGGGCGACGGCGGCGCGGATGCAGCTCAGCCACTGCTGCTTGTGGAACACGTCGTTGGCCTGCAGCGTGTGCGACTGGCCCGGGCCGGGCTCCTGGAAACGCACTCGGAAGATGTTTTTGGCTGGGGGTAAAGGGAAATGCACGTCAGCTCTGAGTTGGCATTTAGAGAGTCCATTGGTAGGTTTGAAATCCCAACAAAACCCCCTCAAATCCCAAAAATCCAGCAGGGAGACAAAGGTGTTTTCTAATCTGAGCCCCAGCTGTGAATTCATGGCTGATTGGATCTGTGTTGGGGAAGATGAAACAGGAAAGCCTCATAAATATGACTGTCCGGCAAAAGATTTTGAGAATATGGAAACTATGAGTGAGATTGAAATGAAAGCAAGGTTTGAGATCCCTCAGTTACTGAACAACTGGAAAACAATGGTGTGGCCAGCTGAAGGTGATCTCCTTTTGATGGAACAACACCCTCGGCTTGCAGACAGGCCCAAGGGTCAGGGCAGACCCTACAGCTTGGCAGAAGGGCCCAAAGAGGAGTTTTTAGGGTTTAAAATGTAACACAGTGTGGTAATGTAATGATTCTTATAGGCTGTATGGCAATGCTGTAGGATCTGTATATTGTAGTACATTGGTTAGTGAGAAACAGAATATTCAACACAGAAGATTTATTGTATTGTAACGGGAACTTCACTCTCTTATGCTTCTGCTCTCTTACCCTCTCACCCTCTCTCCCCTCTCTTCTCTCGGGCCTGCTCTGAGCTGTGGCTGCAGCTCCCAGCAGGGCCCTGCACCCAGGCCCTTTGCAATGAACCCCAAATCCCAGCAGGCCCTGCATGCATTCCCTTTGCAATAAACCCCAAATCCCAGCAGGGCCCTGCACCCAGGCCCTTTGCAATGAACCCCAAATCCCAGCAGGCCCCTGCACCCAGGCCCTGTGCAATAAACCCCAAATCCCAGCAGGGCCCTGCACCCAGGCCCTTTGCAATAAACCCCAAATCCCAGCAGGCCCTGCATGCATTCCCTTTGCAATGAACCCCAAATCCCAGCAGGGCCCTGCTCCCAGGCCCTTTGCAATAACCCCAAATTCCACCACCTGGCTGCAGAGATCTCTCGTCTCCGTCCTTCCCACCCCCCGACGCTCCTAGAGATCCGTACCTTTATCAGAATTGCCAAAAGCCCCCCGGAAGGAGCCCCCCATTTTGACATCTCCATCCTGGAGGTCCTCGAGGAGCAGCTCCTGCACAGGGATGGGCTGCCGGTACACCTGGAACGCCTGGCGCTCGTTGCGGGTCACCGGCCGCGTCAGCACCAGGATTTCTTGGAAGAGGAAGACGTAGAGCTTCTGGAAGGGAAAAGATCCCAGTATTCACTCTGTGCTCCATGAGGTCACACATCCTGTGGGATTCAAGGCCACCTTATCTGCAGTTTCACCCACAATAACTTTCAGAGTCTCCGGTGACAATGGCAAGGTCTGGCACACACCAGGATTACATCAGCGTCTTTATTATTTTATTGATCCCTAGAAAGGGAACGAATGATGATTCCCAGGTGCCCGGGATAGGATGATTAGGAGCCATATCTTTCCTGTGTGCATGGAATGCCTCGTGTGCACGAGTAAAACAGCCAATTAAACAAACAAAACCCCCAATCAACAGAGAAAACTTGAGGAGATTTGAGGTTGAAATCAGGACAAAAGGCAGCAAAGCCCGGAGTGCAGTGGGTGGGAGATAAACTCCAGGCAGCCCAGCCCAAAGCAAACAGGCTTCATAGGAACCCTTTTGTTTGGAAGAGCCAGGGCTCCTAATGGGGAATGTCAGAGCATTACTGGGAGTAAACAGTGGCAGGAAATCCCTCTGGATGGATGGAGAGCACTTTCCGTGGGCACGCTGTGCTAATGATTTTCCAGCTTCCCAAAGGCAATTGTGGAGCTGTCAGCAGGAAACTTTCCCTTACAGCCTAAATGAGGCTGACAATTAAGAGATTTTCCTCTGCTCTTTTATCCAATATCCAAACTATCCCGTAAGGGATAGTCCTGCTCTGAGTTTAAACCAGGTTTGAGAATTAATTAGTAAAAAAGGAGGGACTCACATGTCCATTTTTGTTCTTCAGCTCCCCGTGGCACAGCAAAGCTTTGCTGCCTTCAATCCTTGGATCCTTCTGCTTCTCATCCAGGTACTCCAGCTTGTCAATGTAGTACTGGCACTCAGACTCGCCCTTCTTCAGGTTGATGTCAGAGAGGACTCCTTGGATTATAGATATCTGAACACCCAAACAAATGATTAAGAGGGATTAAGTGCTTCCCTGTGTGACCTCTGCTCGTCTCCTTCACAACTCCCAAGGATGCAATCCACGTGAACTCATCCCTCACTTTCCCTGTCATGGATTTGAAACCCCCCCCGGGACCTGCTGAGGTTTAAGGACGATTTCTGGAGCTCCCCCATCCCACGCCCGGGTCAGAACAAGCCAAGCAGGATCACTCACAGCCTCCTGCAGGATGTGGATGTCGGGGTGCTCCTTGGGGGTGTGCCTCAGGATCTCCTTGAGGAGCAGGGGGTATTTGACCAGGCGGCTCCGAGGGATGTCCAGGAAGCTCCACAGGTCCAGCTTGCGGCTGAAGGGAGACTCGAGGCAGCGCTGCAGGAAATCCTGCACCCTCCTGTCCTGCTTCTTCTGGTCCAGCAGCGCTTTGGCTGCCAGCTGGTTGCTGCAGTAGCCTTTGTAGGCGTGCAGTCGGGGTAGCTGCAGGGAACAGAGGAGATTTAGGGGTCAGATTCCCTGTGGGAAAAGCCGATGTCACTCACATGGCAAACTCAGGGAGTTCCACAGCACCCACTGGGGTACTTTTACCAATAAAAAGATATGGGAGGGTGTTGTGAGGAGGATGAGCACACAGAGCCCATGAAGCTCCAAATGTCTGGATGGGTAAATGGAGCCCATGAAGCTCCCAGAGTCTGGATCCTGTGAGGAGGATGAGCACAGGAAGCCCATGAAGCTCCCAGAGTTTGGATCCTGTGAGGAGGATGAGCACACAGAGCCCATGAAGCTCCCAATGTCTGGATGAGCACATGGAGCCCATGAAGCTCCCAGAGTTTGGATGAGCACACAGAGCCCATGAAGCTCCCAGAGTTTGGATGAGCACAGAGAGCCCATGAAGCTCCCAATGTCTGGATGAGCACAGGGAGCCCATGAAGCTCCCAGAGTTTGGATGAGCACACAGAGCCCATGAAGCTCCCAATGTCTGGATGAGCACAGGGAGCCCATGAAGCTCCCAATGTCTGGATGAGCACATGGAGCCCATGAAGCTCCCAGAGTTTGGATGAGCACATGGAGCCCATGAAGCTCCCAGAGTTTGGATGAGCACACAGAGCCCATGAAGCTCCCAGAGTTTGGATGAGCACACAGAGCCCATGAAGCTCCAAATGTCTGGATGAGCACATGGAGCCCATGAAGCTCCCAATGTTTGGATGAGCACTCAGAGCCCATGAAGCTCCCAATGTCTGGATGAGCACACAGAGCCCATGAAGCTCCCAGAGTCTGGATGAGCACACAGAGCCCATGAAGCTCCCAGAGTTCGGATGAGCACACAGAGCCCATGAAGCTCCCAATGTTTGGATGAGCACATGGAGCCCATGAAGCTCCCAGAGTTTGGATGAGCACACAGAGCCCATGAAGCTCCCAGAGTTTGGATGAGCACACAGAGCCCATGAAGCTCCCAATGTTTGGATGAGCACACAGAGCCCATGAAGCTCCCAGTGTCTGGATGAGCACACAGAGCCCATGAAGCTCCCAATGTTTGGATGAGCACACACACAGATCCCATGAAGCTCCCAGACTTTGGATGAGCACATGGAGCCCATGAAGCTCCCAGAGTTTGGATGAGCACACAGAGCCCATGAAGCTCCCAATGTTTGGATGAGCACACAGAGCCCATGAAGCTCCCAGAGTTTGGATGAGCACACGGAGCCCATGAAGCTCCCAGGGTTCGGATGAGCACACAGAGCCCATGAAGCTCCCAATGTTTGGATGAGCACACGGAGCCCATGAAGCTCCCAGAGTTTGGATGAGCACACAGAGCCCATGAAGCTCCCAATGTTTGGATGAGCACACAGAGCCCATGAAGCTCCCAATGTTTGGATGAGCACATGGAGCCCACGAAGCTCCCAATGTTTGCAATCAGCAGGGATAACACTTCTGGAATCGCACTGGGACAAAGAGTCCAGGAGACACAGACATTTCAGCCCTAGATCAGGGTGAATTCAGGGCCAATTCCAGCCATCACAATCCCACTGTTTTCAGCACTGCCAGGATTTCCCTTCCAGTCTGCACTGGGAGCCACTGAAGCCCCAGAGCTCTGTAGCTTCTGCCTTTAAATGTTCCCCAAGCTCAGTTTTAGCCTGTTGATGTTGATTCCAGGTTCTGAACTCACCCACTTCACAAGGATGGGCCCAATCTGCTCCACGGTTCCATCTGGTTTTGTTGCTTCTCCCAAGCTTGCCAGTAAGTCTGGAATGGAAACAGAGAAAGAGGAATTGCACCAATGCCCTAAAGAGTAACAGGAGAAAGCAGAGAGGTTCAATCCCAGCGAGCACAAAGCACCCAGCTGCTCTTACCTTCATGCAGAGGAATGTAGGAATCCAAGTCCCCAAAAATGTGGGTGAGCTCCTCCTCAGACATGATGGAGAGCTTCAGCATGGGGTCGTGGTAGGCCTGTCAAATGAAATATATTCAAATGTGCCTCAAAGCTGATGATTTAAACAGATTTAAATGTGTCAAAGCTGATGATTTAAACTGATTTAAACGTGTCAAAGCTGATGATTTAAACTGATTTAAATGTGTCAAAGCCGATGATTTAAACTGATTCAAATGCGTCTCAAAGCTGATGATTTAAACAGATTTATAAGGTGAAAGAAGTGAAGGCAACAGAAAGGTAACACTGATTTGACGCTAGAATATTCACTCAGTGTGAGTATGGAGGAATTAAATGAAAAGCATTTTCCTGTGTGGATATTCCCAGCTGGGAGAGGGAGTCCCCAGGCAGCTCTGCACAACCCTTTTATGGCTGGGTTTGCTGCAATCACACCAGTGCTGGCCCAGTGCTCACGTCAGCTTTCTGGGCCAGCTTTCAGACTGGGGGTTCTGGGCTGATAAAGCTCCCACGTCACGTTTGCAGCTGGAAAAATCCCTCACTGTTCCCTGGAATGTCGTCACTGACTGCAGGAAAAATCCCACTCACCTTTCTGGCCAGCTTCAGGTCTTCAATCAGGTCCTGCTCTCCCCTGGACATTTCATAGATGGCCTGGGAGGGAGGATAAAGCACCCAGAGTTATTCTGAATCCCAGATTTGTCAGCCAGAGCCTTTCAGCTGCCATGATGAACAGCCTGCCCTGAATGGGCCCTTGGCCACCCCAATCCCTCGGGGGGCACCTGGGCATGACAACCCTGAGTAAATCTGCAGTCCCAGCCCTGAGAAAGCAGCTTTGCTTCCAAGGGTGTGAAAGCCCTGCTGGCCCCTGCACGAGCCAAATTAAACAGCAGAGCCTTTTCAATCAGTGCCTTTGGGCAGGCAGGGCAAACACAAAACCCCCGAAACCGCAGAGGTCAAAGCCCAGGCGGCTCCGGCGGCTCCACAAGATTTGTCCAAGAGCTCCAGGAAAAGGCAAGCCAAGGCCTTGCTGCCCGGCTCCCAGCCAAGTGTCAGGAGCTTCAGGAGAAAGACAGCTGGCTCTGCGAGGAACCTGAGGCTGGGGCAGCTGCAGAGCAGCCAGCGGGGCCGGGGCTGGGATTTCAGGAATGCCGTGGAAAGTTTGGCATCTCCGAAGGGTCACACTGGGAGGTGAATTCCAGAGTGGAATCCTCCTTTTCCCATGGCTGACAGACATAAATCTCAGCTTTAGGTGCACAGGAAGATGCAGCCCCCCAGGGCTGTTCCTCCTTTCCCAGCAAGGGAAGGGACAGAAGGCCTCGGCTGCTGTTCCCAATCCCGTTTTCCATGGGTGTTTCCATGAGGTTTCACCTCCTGGCGCTTGATTTCCTTGGTGCTCAGGGATTCCTTGGTGTTCACATCCAACATCTCAGACCAAAGGACACTGTTCCTTCTCTTGGGGGGAGTGGGAGCAGCAGACCTGCTGCAGGACTTCTGGGCACAGCCAGGGGATTTGCTGTCGCTGCGGAGGGTGAACGACTGCAGGGATTGAAAAATTAATGAAAAATATTAAAAACAATGTGGAGAGCCAAGATTTCAGGAGTATTAGATTATCCATTCCCAATCCCTCATCCCCCTGGGTTATCCAGGGCAGGAAAACACACCCAGACACTTTTCCTCAGATAAAGAAAAGCTTTAATCAAGCTGCTGAGGAAGCCCAGAGCTTGGCAAGGCTTTCCATGCCCCTCTCCCTGCGAGGAAGAAGGGAAGGCAAAGCTTGGCTCTGTTTCCCAGGTATGAGGAAGTAAATAAACAAAGATCATAACTCTTGTTCTGAAGAGGTTAATGAGAAGCCACTTGAACTCTGCCCCGTGTTTTGCAAGGTTCCTATGCCAGCAGTGCTGTTATCTGCAGGTGAGAGCACAGAGCCCCTGGCAGGGCTGCAGTGCCAGTGCTGGGCAGCAGGGCCAGCTCCATCACGCTGCAGCACACGTGGGGGCACTTTATCAGCTCTTTATCTGCAGCACCCGATTGTATTTACTGTTGAACCTGTTTGTACAGCTCTTTATACCCGTGCTCTCCTGAGGGAGCACCCTCCAGCCCCAAGAAAGCTCACACAGAGCTCCAAGGGATGTCCCAAACCCCCATGGAGTGCCTGTTCCACCCCATCTCACCAATCCCTTGCCCAAACCTGCAGGTTTTTACCTGGATTGTTTGCCCAAAGCATCAAACTGCCCCATTTCTGACAGGGGACATCAGGCTGGCCAGGGAGGTGACTCAAGCTAAAGTTCACACAGAGGTCCAAGAGGTGTCCCAAACCCCACAGGCTGCCTGTTCCACCCCATCCAACCAATAAATCTCCAAGTTTTGCCCTGTTTTTACCTGGATTGTCTGCCCAAAGCACGGAACTGCCCCATTTCTGACAGGGGAGATCAGGCTGGCCAGGGAGGTGACTCTCACACAGAGCTCCAAGAAATGCCGCAAACCCCCACAGGGTGCCTGTTCCACCCCATCCCACCAATCCCTTGCCCAAATCTCCAAGTTTTGCCCTGTTTTTACCTGGATTGTTTGCCCAAAGTGTTGAACTGCCCCATTTCTGACAGGGGACATCAGGTTGACCAGGGAAGTGACTCGTGCTGAAGCTCACACAGAGCTCCAGGAAATGTCCCAAAACCCCATGGAGTGCCTGTTCCACCCCATCCAAGCAATCCCTTGCCCAAATCTCCAAGTTTTGCTGTGTTTTTACCTGGATTGGACATGGATTGTACACCTAATTAAGTACCACCTCACATCAAATCACCACTTTGGATTTGAAGCAGCTGCCTGATACCGACACTTCATAATGTCCTATGATTATTCGTCTACATTTCCATCTGCTGATAAGGATCTTACTCTTCTAGTGTATTAATTACAATCGATTTCCAGTCCTTAGAATGTGGTTTAAGCCCAGAGAAGAGTAATAAACATAATCCTATTCATGCTGGCCCTATCACTGACCCTGAACATCCTCCTAACTGCACTAGAAGTGTCAAACTGCCCCATTTCTGACAGGGGAGATCAGGCTGGCCAGGGAGGTGACTCGTGCTGAAGCTCACACAGAGCTCCAGGAAATGTCCCAAACCCCCACAGGTGCCTGTTCCACCCCCATCCAACCAATAAATCTCCAAGTTTTGCTGTGTTTTTACCTGGATTGTTTGCCCAAAGCACGGAACTGCCCCATTTCTGACAGGGGAGATCAGGCTGGCCAGGGAGGTGATTTGTGCTAAAGCTCACACAGAGCTCCAGGAAATGCCCCAAAATCTCATGGGGTGCCTGTTCCACCCCATCCCACCAATCCCTTGCCCAAAGCTGCAGGTTTTTGCCTGGATTGTTTGCCCAAAGCACCAAACTGCCCCATTTCTGACAGGGGAGATCAGGCTGGCCAGGGAGGTGACTCTCACACAGAGCTCCAGGAAATGCCCCAAACCCCTGTTCCACCCCATCCCACCAATAAATCTCCAAGTTTTGCCCTGTTTTTACCTGGATTGTCTGCCCAAAGCGCCGAACTGCCCCATTTCTGACGGGGGAGATGAGGTTGGCCAGGGAGGTGACTCGAGCTAAAGGCCGGACCCGTTTCGTGCTTGGCTCCTGCAAAGCAAGCAGAGAACAAATTGTCCTGGCTGTGCCTCCCTCGGAAATTTCTCAGGCAGCTTCCAAAAGCATAAACCCACTTAAGGAGTGGCAAACACAGCAAGGAGAGCGTTTGGAAGAAGCCATTCATCTTTCAAGGCTATAAATATTTGTCTGAACTTTAAGGCTGCAATTAAACTGCAGAGGTTTTTGCCCAGTGTTAAAAGAGGTGAGAGAACATCAGCGAGAATTCAAAATAGGGCTCCAGCAGGGACTGTTATGCTTTGAACAGAAATAGATTAAAGTGTTTTCTGACACTCTGTGGCAGCTAAAGATGGAGCTGGGATGTGCTTCTCCATTTTCTCATCTTTTCCTCTGGAGCAAGAATGTGTTTTTCCATTTTATTTTGGAGAGCAGGGCAGCAGTGGGGGCCCCGGGCAGCTCCTTGAACAAGCAGCAAACAACCACAAGCTGAACATTCCTGCGAGGGACACGCACGCAGATAAAGCTGAAATCCTCCAGTTTGCACAGTTTCCTCCTCCTGCTGCTCTCCCCCACCCCTGCAACGACTGCAATTTTTCTTACACGTTGTTTAGATTTGAAAGCTGGAGCTTCTGCTTTTCCCCGCCGCTAATCCCTGCCCGCAGCTCAAGTCTGTCCCGACCCAAACGCTGCCAAGAAAGAGGAAACGCCCCTGGAAAGCTCCTGCTGCTTCAGCTTTGAACATTCTGTTGGCAACTCGACGTGTTTGACATCAAAAACATTGTGTGGGGAGGGCTGGGCAGGAAAGGTGTGCACAGGGGGAAGTGGGCAGAGATGGGCTCCGAGTTCAGGGCTGCAGGATTGTCCTGGTGCTGCCAACAGCTGGCACAGGGCTGGACTGACTCATCCTCAGCACTAAGCTCTCACCAGGACAGGGAAGCAGAGCAGCCCGGTTTGGGTTCATCTCGGTTAAAACTGGTTAATTATTGCTGGATTTGTACTCTTTCAAAAGCTCTGCGCTGTTTCCATTCCCAGCCCAGCTCGGGGGCCAAACCCTTCGCTCAGAGGCGACAAATGTTGAAAACAAAACTAAAAAAAAAAAAAAAAAAAAAAAAAGGGGAATAGGAACACCCAGAGCTGGATTCCAGTCACGAAGGAGCACAAAAGCTACGTGTGTGTGTGTAAGATCTGATTTCAGCAACCCGAGCCCAGCAGCGGCCCTGCCCACACGCGGCGTTGGGCAATGCAGGAGGAGCAGGAGGAGGAGGAGGAGGTGAGCTCACCCTGAGCTCAGCCTTCAAACTTGCAGGGGGGGAACATGAAAAGAAACAATTTATGAGCCGTGCAGGAAGAAAAGAGCTCTTGGCACGGCACGAAGCTGTGCTATAAACGTTTGGGGAATGTCAGAGTTAGGAGGGCACAATAAACATGGAGAAAAGCTGTAAAAGTGTCCTCGGTCATGGGATCCTCAGCTGGGTTTAAGTGGGGCACCAGGAACTCCAAGTGGGACACCAGGAACTCCTCCACTGACTCCAGACAGGGAAAGGTTGGATAGCTAGGCCAGACTCAAAGACAGCAAGGAAAGTTTAACGCGTTCCAGATGTTTCTGAGTGGAAGAAGAGGGAGGTGTTTACTTCTAGAAATTCATCTATCAGTGAGGAGGATAAATAAAGGGACGCGGGCCTAGAGAAGCTTAACAAAGTGCAGGAGTGAATCAGGCAAGATGCAGACACAAAGCCACCCACGGCTCCGGCGAGGCCAGGGATAAAAATAGCCTGGAAAAGCAAAATGTGACACTGCAAACGAAAAGCAAGAAACCTCGAGGCTCCAGCAGGTCACTGGCGAGGGGTCAGCGCTGCAGAGATCCAGTGACAGGGCCGTGCGGGAATGCGGGAATGCCGTCCCTGCACATCTGCGACACGTGCCCGAGGGCTGCCAGCAGGAATTCCCGAGCTCAGCTTAGCAAACGCCATTTCTCCTCTCATAAAAAAAAAATTCCCACTTTGTGTCTGAGCGCTCCTCAGACACGGCCCGACTGCCAAAAAACCCCATCTGGTTGTTGTTCTGCTCCCGAGGATCGGTTGATCCGGAGCAGGGGGAGGAAAATCAAACCCTGGAAGCTCGCCCTGGCTGAGCTGTGCTGGAGCCGGGTCAGGCTCCCCGGCCGGCCGGTGTAAGCCGAGACCCGGGCGGTTCGTGCTGCGGATAACTCGGGCTCGGGAGGGTTTTTTATAGCTCTGTACTCGCAAACAATGACTCTCCTGTCTCCACGCCGCCTTCCTTACAGGAGCCGGATTACAATAAAGTCTGGGAGGTTTCTGTAACAATCCAGGGGTGTTACAGCACTCGCGAATAATTCAAACCCCAGCGGGCTCAACGGCTCCATCAGGAAATATTATTTTCCCAGAGAACTCTTCATTAAATTGAATTAACACATCACGAGAGCAGCCACTGAAGGTAATTTTGTGCCAGGCCAGATTTCACACCCCTGAAATTCCTTCAAGTGCTCCTAAGTGCAGGTTAACTCCTGAAAAGATTGCACCTTGCTGGAAAGAGAACCAGGCATTACTTTTGAGCAAGGATTTTTTTTCAGCAGCACGCCCACAACCTTTCCCCTGCGCTGGGTAATAATTAGTGGTTTTTACGAGGATCCCTTGCTCGAGTGCGATTCCTACGTGCCGCACACAGCCCCACACAGCACGGTGAGCAATGGCAAAGCCACGCGTGACAGAAACTCTTCCTCCCGAGCCAATTCAGCAAAAAAAAAGGGATTTTAGTCAGCAGCCTGAGTAATTCCTGCCAGAAGTCACCAACCACCTGAGCACCGCCATGGGAGATTCACACGCAGAGCCTCAAGAGGAACGATCGGAGCTTTCCCAAATCCAACGGCCCCCATATTCCCGACCAAACCCCAGCTCAGACAGAAGTGTTGGCTCACTCCAGAATTCAGAATTCGAGGCGATTTAGTCCCCTCCCAGAGCTCTGGTTTCTGTTATTTCTCCCCCAACATCTGGTTTCCCTTTTGCACAATGGGATTGCCCAAGTTTGGCTGTTGCAAAGCCGGCATTTGCTGAGGTTGGTGACTCGGCGCTGAGCCCTCAAACCCCAGCCATGTCTGGAGACGCCTATTTTTTTTTTTTTTTTAAACTTTTCCAGCTCATCTCGCCACTAATCTGAGCAATAAACCCAGCCCAGGGCTGCCGGGCCCTACCTGGCTGCTGAACTTTTGCTCCTGTCGCAGCAGGAGGCTCGGGAACACCTCCGAGGAGAGCAATTATTGGATCTGCATAACAACACGCGATAAAAATAACAATACTGCCAGCGAACACACGGCCCTCAAAGCCGACCAACCCCACCGGGGGCTTCTCTAAGGTTTAAGCAGCAAATGAGCACCTAATCAGGAAAAATCCTGTCAGTGGAAAGAGCACTGAGAGACAGGAGATTTTATAATGGAAACAGCCGATTTTAAAATGAAAACCTGCGAATTTTTAATGAAAAGGCACCTGGGGGGAGCGGGGTCAGGTGAGGCACCGAGATTGGTTTTGGCTCAGTTTTTGGGGCTATGATTTTAAATACAGATCTATCTGTAACGTATATACATGTATATAAAATGCATATAAAAAGATATGTACATATACATGGACTTAAACATATATACAGTTTATAAATCGGTGGATGAGGCGCCGACGTCGGTTGTGACTGCCTGGTCTCACTCTTTGGGGGCTATGAGCTTAAGTATATCGCACACACACACACACATATATATACATATATATATATATATACACACACACAAAATATACGTACACACAGAGATGAACTTAAACATATATATATGGAGAGAGTTTTTTAAACCGCTGGCTACCCCCCGCTCTGGCCGGCTCGCCCCCCCCCCTCAGACGCGGAGAGCGGGAAGCTGAGAGGGATCCCCTTCCCCACTCTCCCCTCAACTAAATCCCATTTTCCCCCCTGTTCCGCTCACCTCCTGCTCCCTGAAGTGCTGGTTCTGCGCGTCGATGACCCGGATAGTCCTTTTGATGGGCAGCAGCCCGCCGAGCTCGTCGTGCGCCACCATGGCGGCGGCACCCCCGACCCTCCCTCAGCCCGCGCTCATCGCGCTCTGCGCCCGCCGCGCGCCGCACCCCCGACCTCACCGCAGGGGGCGGGGCCAGCACACAAACCACGCCTCCCTGCATGGCAAGCCACGCCCCCTTCAGTGCCCGGGCACTGCGGCCCCTCCCGGAGCCCCAAATCCTTCCAGAACTCTCCCAAAAAATTCTCCCAAAAATCGCTCCTGCTCCTTCCTCTGCGTGCTGTGTGCAGCTGGGGGCTCCTCAGGACAGGAGGGAGCTGGGGCAGGGCCACAGGAGGGATGTGAGCATGGCCCAGGCCCTGCAGCGTCTCCGTGCCCAGGGGGAGGCTGAGGGAGCTGGGGCTGCTCAGGGCAGGGGGACACAGCTGAGGGACCCATCCATGGGGATCCATGGGCACAGAGCCCATCCATGGGGATCCATGGGCACAGGGACCCATCCATGGGGATCCATGGGCACAGAGCCCATCCATGGGGATCCATGGGCACAGGGACCCATCCATGGGGATCCATGGGCACAGAGCCCATCCATGGGGATCCATGGGCACAGGGACCCATCCATGGGGATCCATGGGCACAGAGCCCATCCATGGGGATCCATGGGCACAGGGACCCATCCATGGGGATCCATGGGCACAGAGCCCATCCATGGGGATCCATGGGCACAGGGACCCATCCATGGGGATCCATGGGCACAGAGCCCATCCATGGGGATCCATGGGCACAGGGACCCATCCATGGGGATCCATGGGCACAGAGCCCATCCATGGGGATCCATGGGCACAGGGACCCATCCATGGGGATCCATGGGGATCCATGGGCTGAGGGACCCATCCATGGGGATCCATGGCTGAGGGACCCATCCATGGGCACAGGGACCCATCCATGGGGATCCATGGGCACAGGGACCCATCCATGGGGATCCATGGGCTGAGGGACCCATCCATGGGCACAGGGACCCATCCATGGGGATCCATGGGCACAGGGACCCATCCATGGGCACAGGGACCCATCCATGGGGATCCATGGGCTGAGGGACCCATCCATGGGCACAGGGACCCATCCATGGGGATCCATGGGCACAGAGCCCATCCATGGGGATCCATGGGCACAGGGACCCATCCATGGGGATCCATGGGCACGGGAGCCCAGAGTGGGGCTGGAATTCCCTCCCTGGGGACATTCCCAGACACATCCCTGTGCCCTGTGCCCTGGGATGGCCCTGCTGGAGCAGGGAGTGGGACCAGTGACCCACTGGGGTCCTTTCCAACCTCGCCCATCCTGGGATTCTGTGAAAAACGGGACCTCCACGAGGCTCTGCTGCGAGGAGGGCAGAGAGTCCGTCCCATCCCACAGAGCCAAGCCTATATTTGCTTTTTTCCCCATTTTTAGTGTTTTTTCCTGGCACTTGCAGCGTGGCGGGACAACCTCCTGTTAACAGCGGCTCTCCTTGCCAACGCTGGAGTATATAAAACCTTCGCTGCTGCAAAATGTTTAAAAAAATATTAATTCTTGTCTAGACCTGTGCTTTAAAGTCTGCTCTGAGCTTTACAGGCGCGCTGGCAGCGCTGTGGGCCGGGCTGAGCCGCTCTCCCAGGGGAGCCTGTCTCGGCAGGCCCGGCTGGAGCTGCTCAGCCTTTGCATTTTCTGTTTGTTTGTTCAGCTCCTTTTATTCCTGGCACTGCTGAAGAAATAAAAGCTTTCTTGTGCTGGTAAAAATAAACTCGAGTCGGTTTGGCTGCCTACCTGTGCTGCTTCAAGGGGGGAAATTTGGGGTGGGTTCCAGCAAACAGCGTTTATCAGAGTCAAGGAGGAGGAGAAAAAGGAAAATCCTGCCGTGCCCTCCCCTGGATTTTTGATTTTTGGCTTTGTTTGCTTCTCTCAGCAAATCTGCAGCCACTTAACCTCTGCCATGCAAGGCCAGCACACTGAGGATTCCCAGAAATTCAGGATACACCGAGTCTCCCCTTGCTGAAGGGACAGACTGTGACTCTTCCAGACACAAAAATGCTTTCCTGGATTACCGAAATCTGCTATTTTTAACACCAAGTGACGCTGACTCTGGGGAGGAGCACACAAACCCTGCCTTGAACTGATCTTTTTTTAGAGAGTATCAAACCCATTTCTCCTAAAATCCAAGTTCCAAGCCTTGTTGAACTCAACCTGAAGATTCGGGATAAAATCCAAGTTCCAAGCCTTGTTAAACTTGACCTAAAGATTCAGGATAAAACCCAAGGTCTGAGCCTTGTTGAACTTGGCCTGAAGATTCAGGATAAAACCCAAGGTCTGAGCCTTGTTAAACTCGACCTAAAGATTCAGGATAAAACCCACGGTCCAAGCCTTGTTAAACTCAACCGAAAGATTCAGGATAAAACCCAAGGTCTGAGCCTTGTTAAACCTGACCTAAAGATTCAGGATAAAATCCAAGTTCCAAGCCTTCTTAAACTTGACCTAAAGATTCAGGATAAAACCCAAGGTCTGAGCCTTGTTAAACTTGACCCAAAGATTCAGGATAAAACCCAAGGTCTGAGCCTTGTTAAACTTGACCCAAAGATTCAGGATAAAACCCAAGGTCTGAGCCTTGTTAAACTTGACCTGAAATTCAGGATAAAACCCAAGGTCTGAGCCTTGTTGAACTTGGCCTGAAGATTCAGGATAAAACCCAAGGTCTGAGCCTTGTTGAACTTGGCCTGAAGATTCAGGATAAAACCCAAGGTCTGAGCCTTGTTAAACTCGACTGAAGATTCAGGAGCTCATTTCTCTGCAGGGAGATGGGAAAGGCAAGCGGGGGATGAGCAGGAGTGAGGGGAGGTGAGGCAGAGTCACGCCGAGGTGACACCGACACGCTCCCGGTGCGTCCCGTGTTCCAGAGCTCCTCCTGGGGACATCTGAGCTGTTTGGGGACATTTGGTGACGCGGGTGTCACATTGTCCCCAGGGCAGGGCCACGTGGTGCAGCCACGGGCGATCCCTGACTCTGCGGTGACACCTGGGCAGGTGAGGAACCCGTGGTGATGCAAGGCCAGGTGAGGTGACGGTGAGGTGACGGTGAGGTGACATTCCTGGCCTGACGGGACAGAGCTGCAGGGCTGGCTCTGGGCCAGCAGAGGGATCTGTGTGCTGGGACACGCCCTGCCCGTGGAGAAAGGCTGGGAGCCACCAAGGCCCTGGGAGGAGCAGCTCCCAGCCGGCCACTCTGGGGTGGGATGGATTCTGTGGGGCAGCTGGGTCTGTACAAAATCAACAGCAATGGGGCAAATCCATCCTGGGTGGTGGAGGTGAGCACCATGAACCCACCCAAGGGATGGACATGAGCACCATGAACCCACCCAAGGGACGGACATGAGCACCATAAACCCATCCTGAGGGATGGACATGAGCACCATGAACCCACCCAAGGGATGGACATGAGCACCATGAACCCACCCAAGGGATGGACATGAGCACCATGAACCCATCCTGAGGGATGGACATGAGCACCATAAACCCATCCTGAGGGATGGACATGGGCACCATGAACCCACCCAAGGGATGGACATGAGCACCATGAACCCATCCTGAGGGATGGACATGAGCACCATAAACCCATCCTGAGGGATGGACATGAGCACCATGAACCCACCCAAGGGATGGACATGGGCACCATGAACCCATCCTGAGGGATGGACATGGGCACCATGAACCCATCCTGAGGGATGGACATGAGCACCATAAACCCATCCTGAGGGATGGACATGGGCACCATGAACCCATCCTGAGGGATGGACATGAGCACCATAAACCCATCCTGAGGGATGGACATGAGCACCATAAACCCATCCTGAGGGATGGACATGATCATAAATCCATCCCAAGGGATGGACATGATCATAAACTCATCCTGAGGGATGGACATGAGCACCATAAATCCATCCCAAGGGATGGACATGAGCACCATAAATCCATCCCAAGGGATGGACATGATCATAAATCCATCCCAAGAGATGGAGATGAGCACCCTAAATCCATCCCAAGGGATGGACATGAGCACCATAAATCCATCCCAAGGGATGCAGATAAACACCACAAACCCATCCCAAGGGATGGAGATGAGAACCACAAATCCATCCCAGGTGATAGACATGAGTACCATAAACCCATCTTGAGTGACGATCACCATAAATGCATCCTAAGTGGTGGAGATGATGACCATAGACCCCTCCCAAGGGATGGACATGGGCACCATAAATCCATCCCTAGTGATGGAGATAAACACCAAAAATCCATCCCAAGGGATGGAGATGAGCACCATAAACCCATCCCAAGTGATGCAGATAAACACCAAAAATCCATCCTAAGTGGTGGAGATGATGACCATAAATCCATGCCAAGGGATGGAGATGAGCATCATAAACCAAACCCAAGTGATGGACACGGCCACCACAAACCCATCCTAAGTGATGAAGATAAACACCAAAAATCCATCCCGAGGGATGGAGATGATCACCATAAACCCATCCAAGGGATGGAGATAAACACCAAAAATCCATCCCGAGGGATGGAGATGATCACCATAAACCCATCCAAGGGATGGAGATAAACACCAAAAATCCATCCCAAGGGATGGAGATGAGCACCACAAACCCATTCCACAGGATGGACACAATCCCCATAAATCCATCCCAAGGGATGGAGATGAGCACCACAGACCCATCCAAGGGCTGGAGATGATGACCATAAATCCATAAATCCATAGACCCATCCCATAGGATGGACACAATCCCCATAAATCCATCCCAGTGGATGGAGATGAGCACCATAAACCCATCCAAGGGCTGGAGATGATGACCATAGACCCATCCAAGGGCTGGAGATGAGCACCACAGACCCATCCAAGGGCTGGAGACGATGACCATAAATCCATAAATCCATAAACCCATCCCAAGGCCACAAAGCTGGAGGAGGCTGCAGGCAGCCAGGCTGGGATGTGCCCCAGGACAGGACCCAGAACCTCTCCCAGGATCTCATCCCTG